GCTCCCCGGCCCGCGCTCCGGCTGCTCCGGGCCCCGCGCCCCGGGCTGCGCGCTCCTGGGCCCCGGCCCCGGCCCCGGCTCCAGCCCGGCCCCGCCGCTTCCCGTCACGTGGACGGCCGAGGGCGGGAGCGCCAGGCCCCGTCCGGCCTGCTGCCCCGCGTCGCCTGCAGACCCCGCCCCGGGCCGGGCTACGCGGAGGGGGGGTGCTCCTCCGGCCTCGGGTGCTGGGGGTCTGCAGGGCTCCCGGCGCGCCTGCCTCGGGGGTCCGGGGGGAAGACGCGCCGATGCCCGCGGGCGCTCGAGCGGAGCCTACCGGGCGCAGGGCGGGGTCGGTAACGCGGCGAGGCTGCCGCTGTCGGGGCCGCGCTTTCTCCTCCCCCGCGGCCTGCCGGACTCGCTCGCCGCCCTGCTTCTAGCACCGCGACGGCGCTGGGCAGTGCACCTGCTGAAGGAATGAATGAATCCATCCACCCAGCCATCACTCCTGGGAAGTGCTGGACGGCGCTGCCAGCTGACGAAGTAGGGCTGTAGGAGTGGACGGCTGCTGGTGGCCCCCCTGGAACCGAAATGTAGTGCTGGGCATGAGCCGCCCGCCTCCGGCCCACCGCTAGCCCCGAGCCCCAGGGGCAGTGTATTCCAAGGTGTCCTTATTGAAGCAGGGAGTCCTGGGGCTATTTTACCCACTCCTTAAGGAAAGCTCATCAATAGCTATTCCTTTGGGTCAAGCCACAGTGAAGACTCCTAGGTTACAAGCAATCCATGCGCCTCTCTTCAATATATCGTCAAAATCCAGTTTCACGATGAAAAGCTTAGAAAACTCCCTCCAGAGCTGTCAGTGCTCAATTATCAGCATAAATTATAAAAAGCCCAATTTTCTCAATGATTTTTCCTGACTTTAGAGGTCCCCTGTGACCTCAGCTTTCCTCCAGCCCCTGGGGATTACAGAATAAAACCGTCCTCCAGAACCAGGAGTCATACCAGATTCTACTCTGTGGTCCTCTGCTTCAAATGGAGAAAAACAAATGACCCCCCCCCCCAAAATAAAAGTTAAATGAAGGAAATAAAGAACCATCAGGAATTAATCTTCTAGGGCCTTTTATGCCCTTCCCTTCCGAGTTCATGGCCACACATGTGCCCCAGCCCCAGAGAGTGCTTCAGCCCTGACCCAATGGATCCAGTGTCACTGGCCCAGCCTCCAGGTGGGGAAGGGGTTTCCCAGAGTGTACAGCTATGTGTGCTTCAAGGACAAGTGGCAATGAATGGACTCCCGAGTCTAGTGCAGCCAGGGAGCTGGAGAACACCAGAGTAAATACAGCCATCTCCTCATTTTGCCCAGGCCTGTGTAGAATATGTGACTGGTCATCAGCTCATCACTGGCCCAGCGGGAGCTTGAATCCACTGTGCGCTTTTTCATTTCTGCACTCTACCATGGCCTGGCATGAGATTAGGTGCAGAGGTGACACCTACTGACTGCCAGCTGGACATTGGGCTAAGGGGCTTACTGCAGTGATCTCATCTAAGCCTCGCCATATCCTTATGAAGTAGGCACTATTGATTTCTGCATTGAACACGCAAATTCACAGACGCAAAGAGAAGTGAAAGGCTTCTCCCAAATTCAATGGAAGAAAAGAGCAAGGATAAGAACCCAGAACTCAGTAACACCATAAAATTTTTAATACATAAAATTAAGTTTTGTTGGTTGAATGGTTTATGGAATATTTGTGTTCTGCTTTAAACAATCTAGGAGTGCAAACGTGTTAACGAAAAAGGGGAGTAAAAGGAGGTAATTCAGAAATAATTATTTCCTTTTTGAAAGGATTTGCCATAAGATTCTTAAAATGGCAAACTCCACATGTGCTCATTATTCCATCTAGAAACATTTGTTCTTCCTGAACTTTCTGAGAAGTCTATTTCACATATGTCCGGCAGCGGTATGTAAGTAACTATTCCATAAATGTGCAAAGATCTGCATCAGACTAATTCAATATTTCTCATGTTGTTTTGGTCATATTTATGAATTATGAAAGTCATATTTTCAAAGGAATTATTAACTTCATTTATTATATTTATTAAATATCCCTTGGGCCCATACTACACATGTTATTTTATAGAGTTTGAAAAAAATGGTCTAATAGATTAAGCGTTGAATAGGTACAACTGAATACTTTAATATTTGCTATCTACTCCCAAAACTTAACATCCTCACTTACACATAGCAGAACTGTGGTTCTAAACAGCTAAAAACATGGGTCCAAAACATGAACTGTTTTTTGTTATATTCACCTTGAAGCATTTTATGGGTCCTCAGATATAGTTGACAATACATCTGATAAAATATTTATAAGTCTCTTAAATATTACACTGCCAACAAGAGGAATCAACACCCCAGGTTCTCAGTTTATATCTTGTTCACGATTCATTCATTCAGTAGACACTTACTGAGTACTTAAGTACAAGCGCTGTGCATGCTAGGGGCCGGGCGGAGATTCCAAGGACACATATGCACCCTGTCCCAGAGGAGCTCATAACCCAGTGAGGTGATGATGCCAGGCAGGGCAGTGTTTGTTGGTTTCCCTCGGCTTTGTTCTTGTCGACTACAGGCACCAAATAAAAATGTTAATGAAAACCTCATGATCTTTGAGTGAAGAGAAAACTCTCATAATAAAACTTAAGCATTTATGGTTACTATGTAATACAGATAATACTGTAGCAGGAATAAACTTCAGTCTACAAACTTAAATATGCAACAAATGGAATTTTTTCTGTAACTGAGCTTTATTTCTACTTTAAGCCCCCACTCGGCTGCAGTGACAATAATCTTATCAGTGGAGGCCGGCCCCCTTCCTCAGGACTGTGTCTGGTTAGGGAATTTGTGAAGCGCCAGGGGTGAGGAGAAGCCTGAGAGGTCAGGTCCTCGCATCCCTGGTCCCCACACGGATTCTGAGATGCTCTTTGGCCACTCTGGGGTTTGTTTTTCAGTCTTTTGGTTTTGGTGCTGACAGGCCTGGCCCTTCCAATCACGGTAAAGGCCTGGCTTGAAGGTCGGGATACCTGTAGCTTCCTTGTTTCGATGTGACAGGAGTCTCTGTGAGGTGGCCTTTCTGCCTGGACACATTTGAAACATAACCTTAGAACTTGTTAGAAACGCAAATTCTCCCTGCCCTATTTCCTACATCAGAAACTCTGATTAAAACACAGCAGACCACATGTTCTCGTAGGCTCCACTCTTTAAGCCTCTGCCCAGGATGGAGCCGGGGCAGGCGTTAGCAAAGACATAGTCTGTCCTTCCCTGGAGCAGGGAGGGGTGTTAGAACCGAATTCTACTCCCTCCTCTCTGACTCTTGATTTTTTTCTTCTGCCCAAGGGACGCTCCCTCTATCCTGAGCTGTTTGTTTCTGAGGCACCATGAGTTATCTTAATGGATTTAGTTTTAAGCAGGGACGTAGTTTTACCTTTAAACTGGAAACTATCGGGAGAGAAAAAGCGCACAGATCTCACCTGCCATAAAACATTTTTGCTGATGAAGAGCGTGAGGCTTCAGGTTAAGTCCTGAAAACCACAGGGAGAAAGAACACAGCAAGAACCGGTAACCCCATTTTCAGGCTCTTAACAAATTCTTTCCCCCCCACCTACACCACCGTCCTGCCACCTCTCTCCCCTGATGACAGTCAACAGGCTACAACAAATGTCCGGGTAGATAGAGGTAACAGGCAAGGGACTTTCCCTGCTTTGGCTCCAACCTCACAACACTGTGAGGTGGCGTTATCATTCCCATTTCACAGCTGCGGAAGCTAAACAAAAGTGCGGCCGTGTCCCCGGCGCTTCTCAGCCGTTATTTTCATGTTTGAGCAGTTTCATTCCGAGTATTATTTCAGGGAATAAATACTTGAGTGCCTACTATGTGCCAGGCGGTGGGGTTTCAGGGAATTAAACCCTCTGGCCTTACATCATACTGAAGGAGGTTTAAGAAACAAACAATAAAACGGTTAAAAAAAGAAACCCCAGACCCTTCCCACGCCATATTTGGGATAACGTCTATCTGCCGTCTTCCCGCGAGGCCGTCCTGGGGCTCCCATTGGTCTCTGCCCCTGACGTCACAGGAGGCGCGACCGGGCGCCAATGGTGGACCGCACCGTGAACTTCGCCTTTTCCTCTCTTCCCGCCAGACTGGAAACGCCAATCGTTTCCTCGGCAGAAAGACCTTTCACTTCTTTCACCCCCGGGCGTATTCCCAGGCGAGAGCCCATTCGGCACCCCAGCCGACCCTGAGAGGCGGAACGGGACGGGCGGCGCACCCAGAGTGACGGCACACCCGAGGCCGCCGCGCCGGCCTGGACGTCACTTCCGGGACGCTTCCTCGCGGGGCCTTGTGGGTAGCCGGCCAGGGTCTCCTGGCGACGAGGATGGCGGGGTATGTGGGCGGTCGCAGCTGCCCAGATTCGGAGCTGCTGCTGCACCCGGAGCTGCTGTCCCAGGAGTTCCTTCTCCTCACGCTGGAGCAGGTGCGGCGCGCCGGGGCGGGCGGGCCTGCTTGTGGGAGGCGCTGGGACTTGAGCTCGCCCCGGGGAGTCCTCGGCGGCGCCGGACACACCCGCCGCCGGCGCACCTGCCCCCGGGTCGAGCCTCTCTCCGCCCCGCTCGGGCCGGCCGGGTCTCCTCACTACCCTGTCCGTGAGAGAGACGTCCTCAGAATATCAGGAACTCCCGGGAGTTAGGACTTAACGTTTTTGGGTCCTGGTGACTCGGAAAGGGGAGTCCAGGCGACCCCCGCGGCCTGGATGTAAGCAAGGGCCTCCGAAGAGAGGGACTGGGGTAGGTCGTAGAAGAACGGAAATGACGGTGGCGGTCCCCGACTGCCAGGGCTGGAGGGCATCGGAGAAATCGACTGTTCTCCACTCTCACCGCGTTCAAAGATGGGGAAACTGAGTCCCAGAGAAGTGGCGTCACTTCTGTGAGGTCACACTGTCGGTAGATGGTGCAGACAGGCGAACTGGCTCTCAGTGCAGCGTTTGCTCTTTTTCAGCTGGTGTGGCCTCTGATAGAAGAGAAATAAGACCAAAGAAGTGATGAGTTTTGTTCAAAGTGGTAGGGAATTACTGAAAGCTTTTGAAGGGGTTTAAGTAACATGTTTTGTTGTTTTCCTTGTGTTTTTCCCTCTCGGTACTCTTCCTCTGGTTTCCTCAAGCTCCCCTGCTAAGTAGATTATTTTAGGGATGTCAGTTACCTTTCTTACCTGTGGTTCTCAAACTTTTTAGGTAGGTCACAGTCACCCCGGAGCTTGTGAAAACACAGACTGCTGGGCTCCATATCCAGAGTTTCAGATTCAGTAGTTTGGGGTGTGGCCTGGAAATTGCCATTTTTCACGAGTGCTTGCTGCTGGTCCAGAGACCACAGTTTGAGAATCACTGTCCTGGGGCAGTGCTTCCCTAACATTCCTAACTGTAGGAATGTTGTCCAAGAGAATCCCTAGCGTTTTCCCGTTCTTCTGAGTGAGTACAGGTGAAAATTGATAATAAAGAATGGTCCAGTCTAAGAGATAAAAGAAGTAAAATTTGTGCTTTAAAATTTTGAAGAACAAAAGGAAAGGGGATCAATTTATCACAGGGCAGATTGTATTTGTTTTGTCAGTTCTAAACACAAACGTTTCCAAGCCTTTCTGAATTGTTGAGCCCACAATCTCCTTTCCATCCTTATTTTCTTTCCTAAATCCAGCTCTATCCGTAACTGCTCCTATGCGTCTGCCATATGTTTTCTGTTGAGAATAAATCGGAAAGTGAGGTGATGCAGAGAGGGATAGTTGGACGATGACTGGGAGCCATTGAAAGGACTGGTACAGACATGAGGGGCCGCTTGTTCTAGTGTGTACTGTTATCAGGACCATCATCAGTAAGGGGAATGCAGCTTCCATCCATAGAGCCATTGAAGTCTGGGTGGTGAAGTTCAGTTTAAGAAGCACGATTAGGGAAACATGGGGAATAATATTACAGGGTGAGACCTCCAGCCCGCTAATCTGATCACGATAGTAACACTCTAGATAGCTTTTTGACAGGATGTAGTAATTGTTATCATTGTTTGTTTTCTTTTGTCTGGTCTCCCCAGAAAGTCCCTCATTTTCAGTTTTGTTCACAGATTAAGATGCTGCTACTGGAAATGGTCTTTATACCTCCTGTGTGGGCTGAGCAGTGTGGACAGCTGTCCTTGTCACACTGAGGACATATGACCACTGTCTTTAAGATGAAGCTAAACCAAAAATTTGAAATGGTTTTATACTTGTAATTTAAGCAGTCATGTTGGTTAGTTATTAAAATGAGAGATGTTGTTTTGAAATTACTTTTGTTTCCTTTTCTACAGAAGAACATAACTGTTGAAAATGACATGAGAGTAAACAAAGACAGTCTGACCGATCTTTATGTTCAGCATGCAATACCACTGCCTCAGAGAGATTTGCCAAAGAATAGATGGGGGAAGGTGATGGAAAAGAAAAGAGAACAACATGAGATAAAAAATGAGATGAAAAGGTACTTTTCTGTAGTTCTGGTTATCGTCTTATCTTGTATGACTAAACAATTTTGCTTTTCTTTTTTCCCCAGATAAACTTAGGTAAACAATATTGACTCAGCTACTGTTTATTGAGTACCAGGTACTGTGCTGTAGCATGAATAAACCTGACAGAATTCCTTGCTCATATTTTAATTGGGAGAAACACAATAAAAAAGTTAAGTAAAATACAAGGTATGCTACATTGTGGTAAATGCTAAGGGAAAAGTGAAACAGGGAAAGGGATGACAAGTTTACGTAAAGTGGCCAGGAAGAACTTCACTGAAAAGTGACATTTCAGTAGAGAGACGTGTAGAAAGTAGAGGGCAAGCCAGCGTCCCAGGCCGAACCTGAGAACCTGGTCAGGAGTGTGTCCACACGATGTGCCAGGAACAGCCCAGAGGCCATCAGGCTGGGCAGGGAGAATCAAGGGCAGAGCAGGGAAGGAGGTGCACAGGGGTGAGTGCAGGAGGTGGTCAGTCGTCGTAAGAACCTCGGCTTTGCTCTGAGATGAGAGCATCGGAGAATTTTGAGCAGAGTGATGACACCATCTGATGTACATTTTAAGAGGTTTACTTTGGCTGCTGTACTGAGAAATGATTTAAGGTTGGGGGAGGGGAATAGGGAAACCACTTAAGGGGTTGTGCTGTAATCCTAGCAGCAGATGGCAGTGACTTTGACTGAATTCGTGGACTTGGTAGGAAGCGATTGGGATCTGGATGTGTTTTGGAGGCAGAGCCAATAAGATTTGTTGAATTGTCAGAAAAAAGTGGAGTCAGATAAGACTGAGGTCTTTGAATAAAATAGAAATGAAGAGATGGTCGTGTAGCTTCAGGTACACTATTTTAAAGCTTTAAATTCCAGAAAATTTTTCATAAAACCACAAGCAAATGAATTTCCTTTTATAAAGAAAGTTACATTTAACTAATCAGTGTAGCTGGTTAGTGAGGACCAAGTATCCTAAGATCCGTAAATGGGCTAATTATTTCTTTTCTTGTGTCTGTTTATCACAAGTGGGTGCTATTGATTAATTGCTGAATTTCTTTTTAGAGCCTTACTGTCACAGGCAGTGCACTAGAGAAGGTTGGGGAAGATGGAGTGAGAGGTCTGGGTGAGGAGAGCGCGGGCTCTGAGTTAGTGGCTTTAATCTCTAGGTACAAAGAAAAATTCATGACTGAGAGGGAGATTGTTCCCCAAGTCTGAGAATAGTTGAAGAACGTAACGTGTGCTCATCTGCGTATAGTCTTTTGGAGAACAGATGTGTGTGCAGTGTCACTGTTGGTCAGGAACACATTCAGTTCAGGGTGAGCATCATTTTAACTCCGTGGTTACAGGCCGTGTATTAGTGTTAACTGCTGTAAACCTGTGGATTATGCCGTGTATACCTTTAGTTTATTTTTGGTGACTCTTATTAAGAAAGTATTTTCTTCTTGACCTGCACGTTCAGGCACATTGTCGTAAGCAAAGCTTTCAGTACTGTTATGTTTTACTTCCTATGGTAATCCCTCTTAATTCCTCTATATCATTTTGGAAAGGATCTTTGACTGTTTGTAAACATCACAGTTTGACTCTCAAATCAGAGCATTAAAGCTGGAAGGATCTAAGAGACCATCAGGCCGTTTTGAATTGCTTATGCTCGTCCCCGGAGAAGCTGAGCTCCAGAGGTGCTACGGTGTCCCACAGGGCACACCACGCAGGTCTGGCTCTCGGTGCAGCACTTCTCCAGCTTCAGCGTGCTCCTGAGTCTCAGGCCGGCCTCTCCCCAGCCGGCGTGTCATGCCCTCAGTCCCGCTGTCTGTTCCCCTCTGAGGTGGCAGTGGGTGGACATTGAGCTTGTTTTTCATCTTCTACCAAATGGTGTTCACTGGTGACCTAAGAATTGGTGAGTCTGGCCAGTCACGTAGGATCTGGCTAAAATGCAGATTCTGCATCGGTGCAGGTACACAGCCCAGGTGCTGCGTTTCTTCTGAGCTCTGAGATGGTGCTGAAGCTGCTGGCCCCTGAGCAGCAGAGCTGAAGTGCTCTTCCTGATGACTCAAGTCCTTTTACCATGTTTATTTTAAATAAACAAATCTATGTTTCATTTGAGGTATAACTAATAATGAACAAATGAATGCTTTTATTATTAATCTTTATGATTAAGAGTGGAAGTTAGGTTTTCGGAAGCTAAATGTGAAGACCTGCCAAGTTATAAACTTAAAATTATACAGATGTTACAGTTACAGTTAGTTTAGAAGATGCCGTGGCTTTAAAGACCTTTAATGAATGGAGTAGGATGTCCTGTCCCATTGTTTGTAGACTGCCATTATGGTAGTTTAGTATAGTTTTATAATCTGTTTCCTTTCTAAATAATCATTGATACATGGGTAAGGTAACCCTATCAATAGGATGGTGATTTTTAAAAATTAAAAAAAATTTTTTTTTATTACTAGGAAATCCTGTTTTAAGTTTTGGGGTTAGTTGGTGGATTGATGCTTTAAAAATAACTATGTACACATGAAAGGTAACTTTACATTTTTGTCAATAAATATTTTAAACTTAAAAGCACTGGAAAATTATCATTTCACTTAAACTAATCTTAGAAAACTGCATTTCTGGTAGCCCTATTTCCAGTAGTCCTACTTAGAATAGATTAGTCTTATCAATAAATCTTTTTTGGTCATTGTTTTACCTTTGAGTCCCAGAGAACTGGTTTGCTGTCCAGAGGGTATTTTTCATGACACATCTCTCCGATTTCAGGAGTAGCACTGCAGATGGGTTTCGGAAAAGACCCCTCATCGTGTTTGACGGGAGCTCGACAAGTACGAGCATAAAGGTGAAGAAGTCCGAGAACGGAGACAGTGACCGACTCCAGGCCCGGCCCCAGGCCGGCGCCACCAGTAGCGCCTTTCGGAGACCGCCGGATCCCTCTTCAGGTGTCTCGCCCCTAGTTGTGTCTTCCAGTTTGCCTACGAACAATAGAATGGAGCACAGTAATAATGACGCTAAACAGAACCATGACTTAACGCATAGGAAAAGTCCTCCCGGCCCTGGGAAGTCGCCGCCTTTGTTGCCTGTAGGCAGTACTCCGGTGAAGTTAAAGCGCGCCGCTCCCAAGGAGGAGGCCGAGGCCGAGGCCGCGGTGAGTGTGGACAGGATCTGTAATCGTTCTCCAGCCCGGCAGTGATCCGGCTCACTTGTACACCTCATTTCTCGTGTGTTTGAGCCCTGGAATCCATGATGATAAGCTAATGTTTCTTAAAGTGCACTCAGTTTATTTCTGCTTAAAATGTGTAAAGAGAGTGTCTCTTAGGCCCTTTTCCTAGATTTTCCTCACTTAAATCCTTTAACTATCTTGGAACTAAAAGAGAGAAATAGTCCTTTGTTAGCAAGGCTTAGAACGTTAACTCAGTTGTCCAGGGTGGCACATTTATTAAGTAGCATTTTAGAGGTTGACCTTAAGTCTGTTTTGCACTTACCTTAAAATCACACCAGAATCCCTAGGAGTTACCCCTTGCCTCCTCTACCCCTCACATGTACCTGTCTTTAGAAGGCTGGAGTCTCCCCTGTTACGCTCTACTAGGCTTACCATTTGGATGCTTGGATTTCGTACGGCAGATTTCTGTAGTTACCGCGGTTTATTTTGAGTTTAATTATGAGATTTTACATATCTATATATATTGGATCTTCCCATAGTCTTCTCAGAAAAGTGATTTCACTTTTAAACATCCAGCAGTTTTATAGCTTTTATTCCCTATTTTAGTTCATTCAGGCTGGTATAACAAAAAATACCAATGACTGGTGGCTCAAACAATAAACACTTATTTCCTACAGTTCTGGAGGCTGGAAGTCCAAAATCAAGGCGCTGGCAGATTCAGTGTCTGGTGAGGGCCCACTTCCTGGTTCAGAGTCAGCTGCTTTTCACTGTGTCCTCACACGGCAGAAGGGGCAGGGGAGCTCCCTGGGGTCCCTTATGGGGGCACTAATCCCCTTCATGAGGCACCACCCTCATGACATAAGCGCCCCCCAAAGGCCCCGCCTCCAGGTACCATCACATCGGGGATTAGGTTTCAACACAATTCTGAGGGGACACAAACATTCTGTCCATAGCATTCCTGTAAGTACACTTTGGCTTTATTATCATCTTCAAGTTGTGTGTCAAAGGGAGCAAAACTCTGAGTGGTTCAGACCTTCTAAAATAGTGGACCTGGGGCTTCCCTGGTGGCGCAGTGGTTAAGAATCCGCCTGCCAATGCAGGCGACACAGGTTCAAGCCCTGGTCCGGGAAGATCCCACATGCTGTGGAGCAACGAAGCCCGTGCACCACAACTACTGAGCCTGCGCTCTAGAGCCTGCGAGCATTAACTACTGAAGCCCATGTTGCGACACAGGTTCAAGCCCTGGTCCGGGAAGATCCCACATGCTGTGGAGCAACGAAGCCCGTGCACCACAACTACTGAGCCTGCGCTCTAGAGCCTGCGAGCATTAACTACTGAAGCCCATGTTCCTAGAGCCCGTGCTCCGCAACAAGAGAAGCCACCGCAATGAGAAGCCTGCACACTGCAACGAAGAGTGGCCCCCGCTCGCCGCAACTAGG